TACAAAGACAGCTTGGAGTACAGAAAGAAAAAAAAAAAAGAAAAAAAAAAAGCAAAAAAGCAGTATGAGAAGGCTCTGTGCACCAGCACAGGCAGAAACCAGTCAGCTCTGTCAAGGTACAGAAGATGGCTGTAAGCCAGCGTTGGTCCTGCTGGTCCTTGAACTGATATTAGCTCTGACATTCGTGTGATCTTGAACATTCATGCCTGGAGGACAGACTTTTTACTGCATGAATTAAAATCTTGCCTTCAGCTACTCTCAGCAAGGTTAATGACTGTAATTTATTAAAAGGCCCATAATAGTTTGTTAAATGATGTTGAAAACAGAAGATTTGTGAAAACAAGTTACAAAGCATCCAGACAAACAAGAGGTTTGCACTGTACTTCCTTTTAAGTGAAACTACTCAGTCACTGAAAGTCACATATTTACCACCTCTTTTGGGCCTACATCCATGTGCATCTACAGTATATGTACAGATGTTCCATCCTGTGCTATTAGTTGATGCTCCATGTGACACTGCATGGTGGTTTCCTTCCTGTTATCTGCACTCCATGGACTTCACAAGAATGGCACACACAGCAGAGTATGCACAGAAAGCAACCTGTGAATGACCTGTAATCTTCCCTTCTCATTGCCATTTTCCTCCAGAAATGTGGTTTTAATGAAGAAGCATCTTTCTTTGTGAGAACCAGCAAAGTGTTCACAGATGTTACCTCCCAAGAGGCGGGGCTGGCAGGGGAGGAAGGCATTAGTGCACAGGTGACCTCACATATTCTTTGTACAGATCTTACTGATAAAACATTTTTAGAGTTTTATAAAGAAAACATACAGAAAAACTCTATATTCTAGACTGGAAATATTACTTCAGTATTTAGCATTTGCAAGAGTACCTTCATTGCTGAAATGCAAGAAAGCCTTCAGAATTCAGGTGATGTTCTCTTGTTCCAAGAGTCATATTCTCTCAGTAGGCTGTTGTGAATCTCCTGATATCTGGTGTCTGAAGTTTGGGTGCTTGGTCAAACATGGAATCCAAACCCACAGCAAATTTACTGTTCCTCCTCCTACAGTTCATAAAGAGAATTAAATGTAAAAAGTGATCTAAAAGCCCTGAAATGCTTGCGGTGTGCAGAGGTGCTTAACAGCACCAGTGGAGAAATGATGCCTCTGGTGACCTTGGGAGCTGGGGTTTGACACCCTATCCTGAGCACAGGGATATTTGTAAGGGGAGAACAAGGCTGCTTCTTTCCTCTTAAAACCTTCAAAAAAAAAAAAAAAAAAAAAAAAAGTGTAAAATACACTTTTAAAATGTCATTCTGTTTTTCTTTATGGTGACTGGAAAGGACTTGAATGTTGCTCCCTCTTGATATGCACTTTTTTTTTTTAATCAGGATTGTCTCCTATCTCATTTTAGAGGTACACATGATGCAGTGTCACAACCTTGAGAACTGAGCTGTTAGTGCAGGATCAGCCACAAATGGTAAAACCACCTCTTCCATCTGTCTTTGCACAGCATCAAGAGGAAGACAGGAGGGAAAAAAAGAAGGCAGTAACAAATGTGCTTTCTTTCCTTGCTTTTAAGGATGAGATTTCCCTTTCATGGGGAGATCTCTCAGATTATTTACTATCAGAGTCAGATATCTTTAATGATATCTTCTATTACCAAGAGAACAAATTATCCTGTAAAAAAGCCAGTTCTTTGGTCACTGCCACTGCCAGCTGCATGCAACTTCAAAATTACAAAGCACTCACTTAGATGAAGTGAATACTTCATTAAACAATTAAGCAATAAGGCAGAACAAAGGCTGTGGTTTCCAGGCCTTGTTCTGTAATTGTATCTTACAGCATTAGGAGAACCAGTTCTCAAGCACTGTGTTACAATTTAGGCTGGGATTATCCTCTAATAGCCTTGTCCCATGGTATTAGAGGATTGCTACAATGGGGAATATTTTTATCCATTGATGGTAACATCAAATACATGATTCGTCCTTGAAGGTCTAGAGGTGATAAATTCCATTCCTCTTTCCTCCTTTCATCTTCTTTCTGTAAAATCAGGATTACAAGCCTTTATCTGTGCTTTCACTTCCTGAACCATGAAGTTTGTCCGCCAACCAGATTTCTGCAAAGGTGCAGTACACTGAAGCCCAGTTCATAAGTAAATATCACCAAGCCTCCCAAGCATTCTGTGGACTCTCTGAGCCTGAGTTACACTAAGGATAGAAAAGCTGTAAGCCATGATGTTGAACAAGGGTAAATTTGTGCTGGAATTTTCATTTGTGCATGTGCAGCTAGTGAGCTTTCAGTTCAGAGAGGAACCTACAGAGATAAGGCAGATGCAGGTTCAGACAGCTGATAAGTAGCAATTGCATGGATTGCAGAAGATATATAAATGTCTGAAGTCCAGATACATTCTGCTACAGACATCTAAACTCATTTCTTGAACAAGCAAAGGCTTGATGAGGTTTCTAACGAAATTACCACAATTTGTTCCACTAACTTAAATTGACTTTAGAGCACACAGCCCTACCTACCAAAAAGCCCAGACAGAATCCCTTTTCAGAACTATTACAGAATATCCTGGATAACAACAGCAAACCCTTTCCTCAAACATAAGGAATTCCTCCATGCTGTCCTTCTCCATAAAGCATTCTGTTCTGCTGAAACAGAAAATAGAGCTTGAATGCAAAATGCAACTCACTGTGTGACAGGACACTCTGTCCTTGGGAACTAGAATTGAGATCATCCAGGCTTGTGTTATGGGCCAATGGAGAGCCATTAGCGAATTAACTTTCAGTCTGAACAGGAATCAAACCAGAAATCTAAAGAAAATAAATACATTTTTAAAGTATGCATTTTATGGTTTGTTTTTTTTTTTTCTGAATAAATAATTTTATATGTTTCTTTAATTATACTTGCATTCCTCTCCTTTGGAAATAATATGATTAATATTTAATTCAGTGGCATATTTTTCTACTCTCTATAGGAATGCAAGTTGTATCCATTTTGTACTTGCTGACTCTGGAAAATAACCAGCTGTCTATATTCACTGGGATGTATGGGAGAACAATAATAAAATTGTAAGAAAACACAATTTTTAAATAGCAGAAGGCAAAGACCAGCTGCTAGGTTTACTTTTCTGTAGCATTAATTCTTTAGGAAGCTGATAAAATTGGGCTACTTTGAACCACACACCACAAAACCAGTAGAAGGCAGTCCCACCCATATCTCAGCAAGCAAACCATGGGAAATCAAACTATTTGCTAACGGAGTAAGGTCTGCTGAAGGAAAAGATTAAGAACTAGATACAGTAAAGGATTTAGGCTTCTAAATTAGAAGTGCAGCTGAGTTACTGAATACCAGAAGTACATCCTAGCTTTGTGAGGAGGGCACAACTCAGCAGGTAACTTTTTCTGTAGACTTCTTCACATATCTGCAAATCTTGTCTCACAGGTGAGGTTCAAAATTAAGACCACCTTACTAGACAACTTTCTAATGTGTCCGTCAGATTGGGTTCAATGTATCTGGAGCCAGCAGCATGAAACAAGAAGTAAAACATTGGATGGAGATAGAAAGTGTTTGAAGCCAGAAAGGCAGTAAAAGCAGTTCTGGCATGGACAGCAGGTCAGGAAGCAATGGGGTGGAGATGATGGAAACAGCAGAAGGAATGGCCTGAGTACAATATGTAGCCTCAGCAACACAGGAAAGGGATAAAGTACTGAAAAGAGGAGGAGGCAAGTCTGAATCTTCTTCCAGAAGAAGACAAAAAGAACACTGTAAAATTTGGCTAGAGAGAGCCAAAGCTCTCAGTGCCTTCAGTTCTGCTTCTGTGCAGGTATTGAATGGCACTGGCCACTGCAGCTTTAGAGTTATTTCCCAATTAAGCTAGAACAGCCCTGAAAAATTGCATATCCTTATGACTTAATACCAAGAGGACTTACTGCTAAAGGCATTCCTAGAGAACATCTAATAAGTGCTGACTAGATAGACCCTATCTTGGCCATTTTTTAAGCTAGTCAAGGTATCTCAAGTTCTTGGCTGGGATGCATCAGTCTAGGAGACCCAGTTGCACCTTAACCCTCAGACTGCTTAAGCTCATCTTTCTCTTTCCATTTTGGTCACGTGGTGAAGAAATGGAAGTTGTTCTTCATAGCTTTGTAGAGAAGAATAGGATCTTAGACCTTTCATCTTTAGAGAAAGTTAATGCTTTTTGTTCTTTCAGAGCCTGGATTGTCATTTTTGGAATTCCACATTCCTGTTCTCATGGCAAAAGATCTGGTTTCTGATGCTGATGTCAGTCTGCTGCTGAGTGACAGTCAAATCCCAAAGTTGATCACTGTTTGGACTTCATCCTGGCAGCTAGATACTGAAAAGTAAGGTGTGCTGGGGCACCAAGTCCTTCAGTAGTGTTATCTGGGAGTGCTTTGACAAAAAAAGGACATGGAGATTCATGGGGAAAAGTTGTACAAATGAATCATAAATCATAAAGCATATCTCGCGTGGGATTACTGATTGTAAACATGAATTACAGCCAATGTAAGCTAGCTGGTATTTATGAAGTTATGCTGTGCGATAAGCCACAATCTTGTCTTGAGGTTTCTAATTGGCAATCTGTACAAATAACAAATCACAATACCATGCTTACCACAACAGAAAGTTAACCGTAATGACCATAAAATTAACTCAAAGTTCACTTTGGCTTAACCCAGTTTTTTTTTCAGGGCTATCTCATATCCCAGTATACATTTATTACCTATTTTGTCTGTTGCCTTCCAGTCAAAATGTAAATTACCAACGTTCTGAAACAGGAGTGTTTTTTTACTTTATACACACTGTTTAGCACAAGGGTGTCCTGAATGTTGACTGTGGAGCTTTCTAACTGCAATGGAATTCAGATACACGACAAATGCCTTCCCATCTTTAAACACTTTTTTTTCCTGACTGCTCAGTTCTGCCAATTGCTTTTTAAAACCAAAGCATGTGTAGAGAAGAAAAGATCCAAGATGAAAACTATTTGTGAAGAAGGTCCAAAACAGGTGAATAAGATCCTCTTTGGCAGCTCCTCAGTACAGTGTGCCTGGTCTCAGCTATTTGCAGTAATAAATACAACAAAGCACATTCTGTGTGAGAAGAAAGTTGAATTTCGGGCTGTAACACAAGGAAAAGGTGTCCAATTGCCAAGAGGAGCTTTGCAAACATAGTCTCAATCCAGTGGCTCTGGTAACATTCCCGAACGGATTGCAGAATGGGCTTCTCATATATAGGACTGTATTGACATTGGGCATGCTGTGCTGTTGGTACTGGAATGTGATAGAAATGCTCATAAAAATCTGTCTTGCTTTATTGAGTAGCAACCTGAAATGTCAGTATCACATGCTAATTAATGATTAATGTTTTAGGAAGGAGATGCATACTTGAAATATTTTTAAACTGGTATAACAAGTTTTCATGCTGCAGAGGAGGGAAGTTCTCTATAATACACAGTAATAGGCTGTGTACTTGGAAATGTGTACCATAAATTTCCCCGCCTTAAGGACAGAATGTGTCAACACATAAAATAAAGTTAGTGCCAGAATTAGTAGTCAATAATGCTGAAGAACGAGGAAAGAAGAAAAAAAAAACATACAAATGATGATGAGAAGGACAAAAACCTCTTTCAGACACACCTGGGGTAGGAAAATGTAGGCAGCACATTTTCAATGTGAGATTAGACATTCTAGCACAAGGTGTTGAAGGTGAATCAAGAAATAAAGAAAATAACACTGTGGAATTGACAAGACTCTGGAACTACCTTCTTCCTCATGGTGATGTCCTCATGGTGATGTCCTCAGCAAGCAGAGCCTTAGCTCTGGCAGGATGAGTTAGCATATACTTGCACATAATGCTGTAGGAATAACACATTGACGTTATCTAACATCCCGAGCTGATGAATTGCAAAGCACTTTGCATCTGTTTAACAATGTTTCCAAACAGGAAATCAGTAAAGTACAGGCTTACATTTAAGTATGTTCTTCAATTAAATGTGTTTCCTCCCCAAAAATGTTTTCCTCAGCCAGTGTCTGTAGGCTGTACTTAGTAGATGCCACTCCCGCGTCCCTCCTTGATGAAATGAAACACTTTCCTCTCCCATACTGTTGTGTAACAGATGTTGTAGGTGAGTCCTATGATCCTATACCAAGTCACTGGCAGAAAGAAGAATAAAAGACAGAGCTGGGATTCATCTAAGCTAACATTAGCAGGCTGTAAAGTCGCTTTTGTGAAGAGAGACACATAGGACTTGGGTCAGGCTTTGCCATTGGAGATGTTTCCTCATAATCATTTGTCCATCTGGGTCAGTGGAGATACCCTTCCTCTCTTGACTGTTTAGATTAGATGCCAACTCCATCCATCACAAAGCAGTGTAAATCTCTCCCTGGGATCCCAACCACCTGCTGTCCCCCAGGTACCACTCCTGCAGCCCTGAGGAGGCTCCATGGGAGCTGCAGGCTGGCCGTGGTCTCACTGCTCCCAAGCTTTGCTGACCTAAATCACACAGCTCCCTCATCCTGCTTCTGCCACAACACTTCTCGTGGGTAGGGCCACATCATTCCGAAGCATCTCCTTCTTCCATGTGTTCAGGCACTTTCTGCTCCACAAATAACTCTGCCACCACAGCATGGACAAGAAATAATGATTTCTGTAAGAGCTGTTCAAAGGCCCTTCCTAAAAACAGCCTGAAATTGTTACAGGGGACATAAATCAAATCACTCATCTGATGGCTGACATAGCCTCGCACATACTTTCTATAAATAAGCACCAGGCAGTACGATGATAAATTAGTAATAAAGAGTCGATGGAACGTGTTGTCGGGCTGCTATGGGCAGCGCTGCTTAACACAGCACGCAGAACGCTTTCCCCCTTCAAGACGCTCAGCAAAGAAGCACGCAGGCTGCCGATAACTTTGTATTGCTGTCACCTCCTTCACCCTTAACATCCCTCAGCAGAGGGACAGCCCTGAGAACCGAGCTGCTTCCAGCGCGGGGTGAACGAGAACACCGCACCCCGATGGCGGGGCGGGAATTCACCTCAGGGCTCCCGGGCGGCACCGCCCTCGCGCACCGCGGGCGGAGATGGCGGCGCCCCCCGCCCTGCCCTCCGTCACAGGCACCCGGCACACTTGGCCATGAGGGGCGATGGAGGTGGATCCCGGATAAAGGCGGCCGTCCCGCCGGGCGAGGCGGAGCCATGACGAAGCGCCGCTCCCACTGGGACGGAGCGCTCCGCCCCGTCCCCGCGCGGCGCTGCCGCTTTAGCCGCCCGCCGTGGGTGTTGGCCGGGCGCAGTGCGCATGAGTTCGGCTGCTTGGCGGAGCGCGCGTTTGGCTTGAGAGCACTTGGAGAACTTGCTGTCCTTCGTCCTTCTGTTGTCCCTGTTAGGAGAGACGCGGATTTCTGACGGCAGCCGGTGAGTCTTCCTCAAATCTCTCTCTCGGGGCGCTCCGTCTGAGGGGACTTTCCCTTCCTACTGCTCTCCCTGCTCCCCTAGGAGCCGTGCCCTGCCCTGCGGGCTTTCCCACCGCTCTCCAGGCGGACCCGCGGGTGTCCGTGTGCCGCTCCGCCTGCCCCGGTTCGGTCTTCCTCAGGCGCTTATCAGCGCTGGGCGAGAGGAATCCAGCGTTGGTCCTATTCCTCGCGAATGGGTGGCTTCTTGTCTCAAAAAGCAATGAGGACGGCGGCTGCCCCGCTCGGCTTTTGGCCCCATTGTTTTCTAAACTTCCTCCAGGCAGTGCGGTGTGACGCACCGGAGTTCTGCCTGCTCTCCGGTTTCCAGCGGAGAAGCGGTGTGTAATGTTATGAGCGAGGAGAGAGAGACCGGCACGGCGCGGGAGAGGTGGTTCGGGGTACGGGAATGGGAGGAAGAACTTTCAGCAGAAACCTCTGCTATCGTAGGTGGCATAAAGCCCCACAGCTTCATGGGCTGTGTGCCCGACACCACCTTAGGCTGCCCAGGGCCATCCAGCCTGGCTGTGAGCACCTCCAGGGATGGGGCACCCACAGCTTCTCTGGGCAGCTGTGCCTCACCTCTGAGTAAAGCATTTCCTCCTAGCATCTAACCTATATCTCCCCATTTTTTTACCTTAAAGCCTTCCCCCTTTGCTTTATCCCTGCCAGGCTGTGTGAGAAGTTATTCCCTGCCTGCTTACAAGCTCTTCTAATTCCTTGAATTTTTCTTCCTTGTCATATTCTGTTTAAAAATCCACATGCAGCAGCAAACTGTTACTGGAAACTTTAATTTATAAAAAAAAAAAAGTGAAAGAGTTTATAAAAGGTTTCATACCAGTGCATTATTAAACTTCAGATGTGCTGACATCCACGGTTTGATCAGGTTGACTATTAGGGAAAAATTCTTCTTAGAAAGAGTGATGAGGCACTGGCATGGGCTGCCCAGACTGGTGGTAAAGTCACTGTCCCTGGAGGTGGTCGCACAGCACTGAGGAATGTGGTTAGTGCGCATGGGGAGGTGGGTCGATGGCTAGACTAGATGATCCTAGTGGTCTTTTCCAGTCTTAATGATTCTGTATGTGGTGTTATGGGCTGACTAAGGGTCATGGTAAAGAGCTGCTTTGTTCTTCTTCATTGCTTCCTGACTCTCCAGAATGTAGTTTTACCATTGGAAAAACTGTTGGCTTAAACAGCAGCAGATTTTAACTCCAAATATTTTCCCTACCCTCTGTCAGGTTCCTGTTCTGTCTGGAGAAGGTGTGAGACAGCTGGTGCTTCTGAAGGTTGTCAGCCTGGGTAGTTCAGGCGAGGTTTAGTATGTGCAAGAGAAACCACAGCCTTCCAAATGCTACAGATTTTCAGCGATGGAAGATCTTAAGGGCATGTTTCCCAAATAGCTTTTGGTTGGGTATGGCACCCAGAGGAGGCAGCTGGAAATCTGTTGTGTTTCATCCTGCGTGTGAGCAATACCTAAGAAATGATGCAGGCAAAAAATTCGGAGGGTGGCTGTCTTCTTATTATAGCAAGGATTTTAAACTATTACAATGAAGTATCAAAAATGTAGTGATTGCTTTCTCTCCTCTTTCCTTTTATGAAGCAAACAGAAGGAAAAACTTCCTTCTAAACTGAAGTGGGAGTCTTTGAAGCTTTTGCAGTTTCTAGCTTAAGCTAATACAAAAATACTGTTTTCAGGCTTTTCTACAGGTCCTTGGCTAATGCAGCATTGCTGATGTTCTTCATTGTACAGCTACTACTGTACAGAATAACAGATTGTGGACTTCTTCCTTCCTTTGCAGTGATGATACCTGTGTGGGTCGGGGGGGAGAGCTGGTGTTTAAACAGGAAAGAAAAACACTGATTACTCATAGCTGAAAGAAATTGAATAGGTTTTTGCAGCACTATCTTTCTCATTGTGGGTTTGCTTTGAGTTCTTACAACAGAGAGCGAATGAGTAATATCAAGTTTTATGACTAGAAGTACAAATGAAGTCTGAAATAGGGAAGGAGCAGGGAGATGCTACGTTAAATCTCTGTGCTTTGTGAATAGTGAAACTCTTCTCTTTGTGATCATAGTTGCTTTTCCTTCTTCATATGCATGCCTCTGAGGGAAATATTAACCAAGAATACTGGCAGAGGCACTGACTGGTTGGATATAGTAACGAGTGCCGTAACTCCTTGGCAGTTGACAAGTCACAGACTGACCGACCTTCTAAAATACTGGAGCGTGAAAATAAATGACAATAAAAGTGGCTCTCAAAGCAGCCAGACAGGCTCTGGCAAATTCTGTTGCCACATCCTTCCGCTTATTTAATTAGAAAATAGAAGCAAGTAATTTTAATTTCCAGTGTAACAAACTGCTTAAAGATCTCCCTCTCAATTAGGTATTTACTGATCATTTCTATACCAATGAATGTATGACACAAGAATTTACTGCTTTGTTTTGCCAGTGCTGTTTTCAGCTCAGTTCACCTTGGGCAGATAAACCTTTATGTACTTATGTAGGAATTAAATGATCATTAAATTAATTTCTTTTTAAAGTAAACATCTACTTTGTGCTTTCAATGTCTTCTGCCTTCTTCCTTGTACTGTCACAGCAATCACTGATGAATGCAGGAAAGCAACACAAAATCCCCTTGTGAGATGTGACACAGAAGTGCTGAGGCTGAAAACTGTCCTGTTCTCATGTGTACTCTGTAAAGCAGGATTTGGTTCACCTTTGTGATGACTGTAGCAGTCATTATGTAATGCAGCCTTAGACCCTGGTGATGCTACACCTGCGATGAGACAGAAGTTGACTAATTATAGTGGAGTCTGAGCTTAAAGTTCTTGGTGTAGATTTCATGTTTCCAAAGTGTTGGCTGTCATAGCACCACCCTGATGTTGACTGAAGTAACTTTAAGAGAGCTGGATGCCTTTTTTGTTGCAGTTTGTACAAGATCACTTGAAGTCAGGGGAGACCTGAGCCATCACCCCCAACTGTTGGAAGCCCAGGTAGTAGTGCATTGGATGGCCATGGCTATCAGATGTTTTCCCACTAAGCAGGTACTAATCATCAAATCTCAACCACAGGCTACCAGTGAGAGCCCTGTCCTTGTGTAAGATATTAACCTACAGAAAAGTAACTACCTGCCACTGAGCAGAGTTTTATTTTTCCTTGTGATAAGGAGGGCTTGAGAGTACATTAGGGATGTTTCTCTGGTAGTTTAGCTTGCAGTGTTACGCACAAAGCTTTCCCAGTGGTGCCTTAGCTGTAGGCAATAGGATTCAGCTGAAGTTGCTGTAATGAACACAGATTACTTGCACGGAGTGAGGCAGAGATGCATAAGGACCTGTTTTACAGTTTTTCCCCCACCAGGTTCTGTCTTCAGGCTGGATGAATGTATGTGACATCATGAAAGCCTGCAGTGGTGTACCACCCTCTGTTTAAAAGAGGCAGTATTTCCTGAGCAGTGGAGAGAGAACGAGGAGACAGATACTGACAGTTCTGCAGAAGGCTTGCCTTGTTTTGGCTTAGCTGTGTACGGCAGGCAACAAAATTTCAAAGGTATAGTGTCTCAAAAAGGCTGTTCTTGAATATCAAGAAAAACCAGTTAAGAATCAAGCATGATATTGAATCCTTCTTTCTGGTTGTTTGAGGCTTGGATTAACGTACTCAAAGGTGGGACCTTAAGTGTTGTTTCTGAACAAAATGTGATTTGGAGAATTCAGTATAATGACTGAATTATTGTTTAGCAGCTGATGGAAACGTTGCTTTGTGGTCATTTCATTTAAAAGTGGATTGCTATGTTTATTTGGGCTGTAATTCAGTGAACTATCTAGGTGTGTGATGAAATGAAAGCAGCTGGATTCAAGTTCTGCTGAACTGGTGCATTACCCATCTGGTTCTTTTGCTACCTGTGTACACAGGGTTAATTATTTTGTTGTTGGCAGCTCTTGCAAATTCAAGCACAAGCTGTATGAATGACATCCAGTGTGTTTCTTCAGGCTTCAGCTTCCAGATTTAGAGGACTGAGAGAATCTTTGTTTTTAGTTTTAAAGCCAACGGATTTTGTAGCTCTCAAGTCTATGGAGGAAAGTCTGAGAGTTGGTTACAGATGTACCATAGAAATGCAGAAACTAGAAAGTTTAAAACCAAATATTTAATCAAAATATTGCATTCTGGGAGTCTCATGTGGCTGTTAGCACTGTAATTACTGAAGTGGTTGGTGTGTCTGTCCCAGGCCGCTGGGCTGCCATGAGAGCACCCAGAGCTGCCACTTGTTTGGCACCAACTCTGAAAATCTCAAACAAAATGTTCTTTTTTTTTTTTGCTGTTTAGAGGCCCCCCCCTGTTATAGGTTGGGGCAGGGTGTTCTTTTTGTGTTTCCTTTTTCTTTTGTTGTTTTTAATGGTCAGTGTTTCTGTTTGGCCAAATGGTGAAGCCCTTCTCTAAACAAGGGCAAGAAGTGTTACTGGACTTAAGTAGTGCCACCTCTGTTTTGGACAGCCAGAATTCTTGATGTGATACGAGACTGTGCATTGCAAGCATCTGTGCTAGTGGTATGGAGAAGAAAACTGAGTTGAACTCTTGACTGGTTTTGGTTGACCTCCATTCCTAAAAACTAATGTTGGTTGTTAGTCCAGCTTTGTTAACTCTTTGTGAGAAGAGCCTACAAACTTACTGTTTTCTTAACTATGAGAAGAGCCTACAAACTTACTGTTTGATTCCAGGGCTTGTCCCTGCTAGCAAAAAGGGCTAAGCAGCACCTCAGGTTGTCCTGCATGCCCCTAGTTGGCCAACTTGCCCATGGTGTTTGTCTTTTGTAGGCAGCACTGTCACTTGGTCTGCTCCCACGCAGCTCCAACTTACTGTATATTACAGCAGTAGGAAATAGCTAGCCTATAAAGCTCAAGAATTTCCTCTATATTTCAGGCAGTGAAGAAGAATGTGGCTACTGTGTAATCTGTAAGGAGGAATTATGTCCACCCCACTGGATCAGCCAAATTGGAGCAGTCTGCAGCCACAGTGGCACAGCAGAGATGTGGGCCAGTCTGTTGTATTTAGCTGTGATCTTGTATGGCTGGTTCTGAGGTATGCTGCAGGAGCACTTAATTCAAGGAGATTTTCATCGTGTTGTTAGACACAGATACCTGCCTTGTTTTTGGAAGTCCTTGACTGTGACGTGCAGGAAGCTGAACAAATTCCTGCTCTGTTTGCTTTGTTTTAGATGCACTCTTCCCTCAGCATCTGCTGCTAGCTGTTGTCAGAGGCAAATAGTGATGCAGGGTCTCTGGCCTGCCCCTGTACCATCATTTTCTGAATGACCTCAGGGTACTTTCAGATGTTTGGGTTTGTTTTTTTTTTTTAAAGCAAACTCTCAACTTGAGCACTGCCACCGAATACAAGATGACTGACAGAGCACAGAGAGTTAAGCTCATGTGTTGGTGTGGGTGTGTACAGTCAACGAATGAAACGAGCGTTCAGGTTCACTGGCCAGTTCTTCTGTCCCACTTGTATCACTGCAGAATAGTAGGTGAAAAACAGGCACTTTGTTTGTGATGCTCAGAGTAAAGCCTTGGCCTAGGAATCTAGCTAAGTAATTTAGCTGTTCTCATGAAGCGTCCTCTAGAAATTCTATGTATGGTGAAGAGAGGGAAAAAAACAACATTGTGCCCTTTAAAAAATGTATAATAACTTCCCAAAAAAAGAAAAGTTGACTCTACTTGCTTTAATTGTGCATTAAATGGAGGTGCTGGCTGCTGGCTTTTGGCTGCTGGCTGACACTGCGTGTGTCTCTGGCCTCTCAGCATCTTCCATTTCTGTGGAATTGATCTCTTGTTTATTAAGCTGGTTTTCACACAGGATTATTAATATCTTTTTCCATCTCCTACTGCAGAAACAGTCCCTTCTAAATACTGGAACTGAACTTCAGTCACAAGTAATCTTAGTCAGCAAAACTATTTAAAAAAAGAAAGCGCACAACTAAATTGTTTTTCTTCTTAAAGGACAGACAGCACTTTATCTTTGATGGCACTTTATTACTGCCTCTGAACTACGTGCCCCTGCCAAAGCAAAATTAAATCTTCTGAAGGTAAAACTCAATATTTCAGTTTTTTCCTCTTACCCTTTGCCAGTGTGCATATGTGAATTGTGTCCCCATCAATACCTTGTGAAACCTGGTTCCACCGTGACCAAGAAGCAATCATTTTCACTGTCAGAATCACAGCTGCCCTGTGATTGTTGTTTTTAATATCCTGTCACGTTTCTGTACCATCGTATCAATAACAAAACAGCCAAAAAACCCTCAAAACACTGTAATGTGCTGAGCAGACCAGGAAACAAATCCTGTAGTGAGCAGGTTTAATTTGTAGTGCATCTCTGAAGGTCAGGAGGAGCAGCCGTCTGTCGCCCTGCTGTTCTCGCTTCCTCTGATGATGGTTACCTTATTTCTGAACCCTTACTGGTTACCTTGGCAATCCTGCTGACACAGCCCGTGGGATCTCCTTGAAATTCATTACATCGTTGGCTATTTCTGTCCCAAATCCACAAAATGAAGAGGGGATGTAAAAAGGGCGACGAGTCTTCTGTGATAGCTATGGTAAGGAAGGGAATTTGTTTGTACAGTGTGCTGTGTGTACTGCAGCAGTGCACATCAGCTGTGGCTGCGTTAGGCATTGCACAAATATGTGGGAGCAGCTAATCCTTAATGCACAAAAACATAGCAGAGGGAGAAGTAATGTTTGGGACCTGTGACTTTAACAGCTTCTTATGTGTGAAAGATGGTGTGGAAGACAGAAGAAGGGAATTGTTTTCTCATCACCCCCTTCCTGCAGGGTAACAGTTTATTGCACCACTCCTTGGCCTCTCTGAAATGAGTGGAACCTCCAAAGAAGGCATAGCTTACAGCACAGAGGCAGAAGCAATACTTGATCTTGTGTGGGAGGCTCTCCAAACCAGCTGCAGTCACTGCCTTTATTCATTGTTCAGGAGCTTTATGGGACATCAGAGCCTGAACTCCAGAATGAATAACAGGACATTATTTGTTGGTATTTAGAGCTCATGGCTTTGATGGTTGTTACTGCTGAATCTGGGTATTCCTCATTAGACAGTCTCCACATTTTAATCTCAGCCACTGTACCTGCAGTATTCTGGAGCAGTGAGCTGTGACCTCTCAGAATCACAGAATTGCCAGGGTTGGAAAGAACCTCAAGGATCATGAATCTCCAACCCCCCCTGCCACATGCAGGGCCACCAACCTCCTCATTTAATGCTAGACCAGGCTGCCCAGGGCCCCATCCAATCTGGCCTTGAACACCTCCAGGGACGGAAGTAGTGTAGTCCATAAAAAGTTCACTGAGTTTTGAGTGCAACTGAAGAAATCTATAATGCATCAGTGAGAGGCTGATCAGCTGTGGCATGCCCAGCTTATGCTGAGATACCTGAATAAAAAGTGGTGGTGTTGGGATTACTACCCACCTCTTGTTGAATGCCAGGAGTGTGCACCTCTAACAGTCCTCGCTGGAAAAATACTCTTTCACCCACACTTCACCTTGAAAGTTAGATGACAAAATATTGAGTTGCTGGGAGGCTTCTGAGAGTTTCAGAGCAGTCAGGTACCTTCTAACTGTTACATCTATGTTTTGTGTGCTGCTCTTAGACTTAAATTCCACTAAAAAATGATAGCCTTCTTCAGTGTGACTTTGTGGTATGTGGCAACCAGAGGTTGGCAGGTGCTGTGATGTTCTGATATACTCTTGTCTTGTGTGGTTCTTACAGCCATGCCCAAGAGCACGTTTCTGCCTCAGTGGCAGCACTAAGACCATTATCTTGGGAATGCATTGTGACTATAGCTCATGTTATTAATAGAGGAAAGCAAGAATGTTTTCTTTTCCTGGGAAAAATCAAGGTTAAATCATATCTTATGAACATCAGGTCTGGCAATTTTCAGATACTTGTGTTGTGGAAATCCAGCGCTCTGTTTACTCGGTTTGTGCTTCCAAGAGTCGTTGGACCGCAGCCTGGTTACGTTGTGTGGGTGTCTTCCCACAGGACAGATGTTGGTGCTGCAGCACAGAGGAGGGAGCACTGGTACGTACCTCTGGTAATGCCATAGCTCTCTCCTGCGGGGAAGTGATCGGCGAGATGGAATTGTTGCTCAGTGCTGGCAGATGTTATCTCACTGCCACGAAACGCTGATCAGCTCACAGGGAGGCTCTGGTTTCTCAGCTCGGAGCTGACAGTGGCAGGGAGGAAGGAGAAGCAATCCAATTGAATTGGAGATGCAGGACTGACTTTGCTTCTCATGTCACCTCTTGAGCTGTAATAAAGGAGAAGTGCTTGGGAAGCAGGGCCATCTAATTTCATTTGTGTGGTGTCAGGGTCATGTTATCTAGTTCCCAGCTGGTGCCATGTAACGTGGTACCTCGCAGCCAGCTGTTTTGGGGAATGTGGCACTGCTATTTCCCAGTCACCAGCAGGATGGCTGAGAAGATGGGCTGTTAAAGAGTGAGGTGTTTTGCACCTCAGTGCAATGCAGTTTTTTGTTGCAGAGAAAAGTCTTTGCAACACATTCAAATCAGCTAGTTTGTGCTTTCCTTCCCTCCCTGTTTGTGCTGTTAGTGCAGAAGGTGACGCGTGTCTGTGTGGTACTTGGAAAATGAAGAAAGGAATTCTGCTGTATTTTGTGATCTGGTAATTCAGAGATGTATTACAGAATAGAACTCTAGGATGACTTAAAGAGCTTTGTTCCAGTAAGTGCTGGTGCATGTCTGTTCCAGTAAGCATCTTCCAAATGTGCAAGCGTTGTTTCTTCATGGCTGAGCGAAATAAAAGCTTTGCAAGCTTTAAAATGCAATCTTGTTATATGATATGATGGTGCAAAAATAGAACTATGCTCTGTTCATAGGTCTTTAACCAGAAGTAGTCAACATAAAGCAGCTTGAGAAAACAGTTAAATTCAGCGTTGTTGGAAAATGAGCAGGGTTCTGTTTCTCTTATATAGATAAATACTGTCTGATAAATTGTATTAAAAGATAAACTTTTAAAAGCTGAAGACACTTGAAATCAGATCTGTTAGTCTCTCAGTCTATGGGGTTTTATTACTATTGTTGATGTGTCATAATGGAAAACAAAAGCTGAATCTGTAGGATGGATGTTTATGTAGGGTCTGTGCTTGTAAGAGTAGACATCTGGTTAGGAAGCACATGGGATGGGATGCATCCTGCTACGTCAGATTGTTAAAATCACTCTTATAGAATAAGACTTTTTGTAAAGGTGCCCACAGGTGTTAGGCATGTTCCAGAGCATTAAAGAGATGCTTTATAATAACTTACATGGAATCCTTTTACTACTTATTTTCCCCCTCCATATATTTAAACTTGTGTTTTCTGCTTTCAGAAATGAATACAACTGGCAGCACTACGTAACGTGCTGATGGCATCCTGTGCTGCGTTGGGATCAATAAGTCCAGAAGGTGTGATGCCTAGAAATCTCCTGTCAGATTTTCCTGAAGCGACGCCCGAAATCTCTCCGAAGCGCACGCTTGGGAGCATGGAGAGGGGTGGTGGTGTGGAGAACTGTGGCAACCAAGCTAGATGCAAAAACCTTGCCATGGTAAGTGCTTAATGAGCCTTATGTTTAGTGATGCAAGTTACATGAGTAGCTTGGTTCATAGCATGGGGTTATTATTACTTTTTCAAAGCCATGATCTCTGTGAGTTCTGGTACCAAACAGTGGGCTGTGGACTTGGGTGTTAATGAGCTGGAAGACCAGAAGTAGCTACTCTGATGTGGTACAACAGCTTGTTATTCTGGTCTGATTGCCTCAGAAAGCCTGAAGAGTGCTTTATTATTTTATTAGAGAACTGGGAATGGGTTTAAGGAGCACGGATGAGTTGGTTCTGTTGCCTGCACGTAGCATGCAGTTCTTTACATCTCTGCCCTCTCTTTGATAAGTAGTTCATAAAGGAAGGTGAGGATGGTGCTTGGTTCAACGTATCGTTTCTTGCTTAAGTTCTTTGTTGACAGTACTGAAGGAAGGTCTCAGTTTATTCCACCTTCATGCAATTAGGTGAGTAACAAATACGTCACCATAAACAAAGCTGTCTTTGGATTAGCGAATATGAGTGTGTGGCCATTTAAATAGTATGTGAGTAATTGAGGGAGTAGGATGCACTTCTGCATTTTTCTAATTAGCAGGATGATTCAGGCAATGAACTCAGCAGGATAGTTTGTACTGTGACATGCTAAGCTTAGAAAGCAGGTACAGATCCTTGTGCTTTTTCAATTATCACAACCATTTGAAAAGCATCCAATTCTGATTGAGGAGAGAGCATTCTGGTAAACATGCTTTCCCAAGTTGGGAATATTGATCTCTGTCTTGCATTAAATGTGAAATTAGGCTTTCCGTATCTTTCCCTCTGCCCTCCTTACTTGGTTTTTTTTAAATGAAGTAGCTTGTTGCTGTGAAAGAAGTGATGAAAATAAGTTGGCAAGTTGATACCTGTGTTTTTTAATGCAACTCAAATGCTCTGTTTCGCACTACTTGGTGAGCTTTTTGGCAGCTGAGGGTTGGTTCTAGTAAGAATACCACAACTTAGTTAATATTCTGCTGTATCCTTCAGCTTGTATTGCTACTTAAAACACAAAACAAATAGTACTGCATCTAATCCCTTAACTCTTTCTGATCTGCTCTGGAGGAGAGTTGGAAGGGTGAGGGTAACGGAGGTTGAAGTAAGATCCAAGTACACCATTTGGACATGTAATAAGCAATATACCCTTAATTTTCAAGGAAACTGGTCAGATCTTAGAGAATTAGAATGGGAGTTGTACTACTAATTCAAGAATTACAATTTTAATTTTATGCTCTGGTTTTCTGGTGTCACAATTCACAGCCAGTCATGTTTCCACGAGTTTTATTCTTGGCTGTGGTAAAAGGCATAAGACTGGTCATTTGAAAAATAAATTAAATAAATCAGTATTGAATAATGAGGCTATATATAAATGAGTCTGTTTGTGCAGTCTCATCCTGAGTCTGCTGTGTCAGGAAATGACATAGTTTACCTTAATCTAACTAGATCTTACCGTGTGATAACCCATACGATGATGCATCAGCTAGAATTAGAATCCCTCCTTAGTCCTAAGGAATAGCCTTCTCTTTTGGGTTACTTTGGATGTGGAAAACATTTCACAGCAAATATTTCACTTGAAGTAGCGAGGTACTGCTCCTGATGATCTTCCTGAACATTTCAAGGGAAGCTAGAGAAGATGACAAACACCTGATGGCCCAATGGGAAGCAGGGGATAGCAAAAAGAAGCATAGCAGTGTGTTTTCTTGCAGGCTTGTACTGCTGCAGCTTTCTTCCTGCCTGATTACAGAAATGAAGTTCTTAAGCTTTTCAGTGTCAAACTACAGTTGTTGTTAAACATAACCTTTGTGTTGCTTCTGTGGAATTCAAACAAACCAAAGGATGTGGTAATGGAGACAAACACTCGGACCAGCTTAAGCCTATGCTGACAGCTCTAAAGCTGGTTTGCCTGACTGCTGGCTGTTCTGTATACTGTGTGTGCTGGTATCCCTTCTTGTGGAGCTGGTTATGGGTTTAGGGATGGTTAGGATATGGATGTAAACTTTCATGTGCCAAAATGCACTTAAAACAGAACTAAGTCAGTGTGCCTCTTTGCAGTCAGGTGTTGTCAGTTGAGCTTGAGTATGCCAGACTTCTCAGCTTATCTACATACACAGTGGGGCTTTTATTTAATCTCTGACAATTGTGGTCAGGTATTTTTTTTCTGAATTGAAAGTGAGCTGTGGATGTTTGTTCTGCCACGACTTGCAGTAGACTTTTCTCTGTAAATCATGTATATGTGGACCTGACTTTTACACTGTTGAATTTATCACAGCAGCTGAAGACAAGTGCCAGAACCTGTGCTTAGATGGGCAGATTGTTTGCTTTGATATTCTCATCTCTCATCACCTAAACCTGTTTCCTTTCTCTGGATCTTGTGGGCATAAAAGCTCTCCCAGGAGGATGTGAATTTTCATGTCCATTCTGGCTTCTCTGTAATGAGGGTGGTGCTAGAAAAAATCCTCAACAAAGGCATGAGACAAGTGCACTCCTCCATACATGGGATCTGTTGTGCTACGCAAGAGGGAGGGTAAACAAAGATGCTCTGCTTGGCAATTCCGACTTCCAAAAGCTGTTCTTGAATGACATTCTCTGATAGGTGCTGCAAGGATTAACTCTCAGTGAAATACAGCTGCAGCAATTTAAGGACACTTACTCTGGAGATAAAGCTAGCTCTCAGCTTTTCTCAGTTCATTTGTCCTGTCCCTTAGATGAGGTGCGTGCAGGCTAGCTTCTTAAAGACCAACCTCACCTCTTCAATCCTACAATTGTACCATGTCCCCATTCTAGGCCACGAATAACTACTTCAGTTCCTAGGTGTGAATGACATGCTGGGACAGTAGCACCTGCTAAGGTCATACCAGAGAATGATGAGTGTTGCTGAAGTGCTGATTTGGAACTGCACTGTAATGAGCTGTATGAGTGTCTTGGATGTTGATGACTTCAGTACCTTTTGTATCTAAATGTCTTATTGAGGACTAGGCTTGAGGGTTAGTGGGTTGCTTGTTGCTCTCAGTAGGCTGTGCTGTGCTTTTTGATTTTTTTCACCTTCATATCAGACCAGTTCTTGGTTAATGTCCCAGTTATCACTGCTCTTCTGGGACAGTGGTGAAGTCAGTCAAGTGACCATTTCTTTTGGTCACTGATCAAGTAACTTAAGAATCACGACCGTGTAACTTCAGAAGATATCTTACTCTGTTATTTTTGGAACAAGGCTCTTCTGTGGCTCTAAACAAGATCTGATACCCAGTCACTGAAAATGATTCATTATCACAGATGCCTTGTGTAGTACTGGTGACACTTCCAACACTGAGTATGCAGACAAGGCAAGTAAGCATCTTGTGAGTGTCTGAGCTGTTTTAGTGTCTTGTTCCCCACATTTAGCTTGGGGCTCACCTAGTCATTTCACAGTTCTCTTTACAGCCTAAAAACTAGTTGCTGTTATCTTTATCCTTTATCCATCAGTACAGATGATGCAAATGCAGCAGATTTGGTTATGGAAGTACATCTTGCTGGTGTCTCTGCCCCAGCCCTTCTGAAGAGGTTCTGGGATTCCAGTGTGGCTTTAGGAGTTCAGGAAAACAGATGGATTGTGTCTCTGGGTGGCCCTATCCCACACAGCTGCATTTGGTTGGGTGGCAGCTATTGTTTGCAGGGCACAGAGAGAGAGTTATGCTGTGCTTCATCCACTTCAGGTTGATGGTACCTGAAGGATGACTTAAGGAAGAGAAGTCATTCTTACTATAAGCAAGGCAAACAGTGAGGAGGAAGAGGAGCTTGGGGATTGCTTCCTTCAGTCTGGGAGTACAGAACTAGGAGTGAGGAGCCTGTCTCCTAGTAAGGACTGACCTTAAATGTGCTGTAAAATGTGCTGGTGAGAATGTTGTCGCTGTAGTGCATAAATTGCTTTCAAGATCCATAAATTGCATTATTCTGCTTCGAAGCAGAATCAAGTGGGTGACCATTATTCCAGCAGGTGGGTAGCTCTGCTCTCTTAACCTCACTGATAGGCACTCCTGAACCTCCAGAGCAGTCTGTCTTCTGCCCTTTTACTTTCTCATTAAGCGAATACTTGAATTCAAGTTGCTGTAATATGTAAACCAATTTCCACTTGTCTTTGCTTTAGACAACATAGAGAAGCTTTGTTGCAGTGAGCCTAATGGTCAGCCATTTATGGACTGCAATACATACAAGGCTGTGTCTGCCTGCCACCCATTCTTTGCTGTTTTAAAAATAACACACTGCATTCTTCCAACCTTCCTGCACAGCCAAACATACTGGCAGCACTCGTGGCTTTGCTAAGGGCGCAATCCAGCCTGGCTGCATCCTTCTGGAAGTTCAGTGGCTGGATGAGAACTCTGTGTTCTGTGTGAGGATGTGCTGTGATTTCATCACCCTGGTTAATATATCCCAGGATGACGTTTGCATGCCTCAGTGGTGCTGCTGCTTATGAACATCAGTCTTTCCCATGCCTTTCAGTTATATTGACACCTTCCAGTAATTTCATCTAAGTTCCTAAGTATAAGGTTGTGGATGCCCCAACCCTGGAGGTGTTCAAGGCCAGGTTGGATGGGGCCCTGGGCAGCCTGTTCTAGTATTAGATATGGAGAGTGATGGCCCTACTTGCAGTAGAGGGGATGGAGCATCATGATCCTTGGGGTTCCTTCCAATCCAAACCATTCTGTATTCCTTATTCATCCATTAGTATATTTTGGGGGGAGGACTATGTCATAAGGCCTTTCAGTCAACATGCATCACATCTTGTGCTTACACCTGTTGCCTAAGTCAGTGAACCTTTCAGGAGAAACTAGATGGGTGTGAAATGATTTGTTTTTGTTTTTTTTTTTTTGTGAAAAGCATTAGTGACTTTAGCCTGAAAGTTCTTTTGAATTTTCCCAGGTCGTTTTAAAACAGAAATTAAGGGGATGAGCTGAAATAAGCTCTGAAGCCATCTCTCTGGGTATCAGAGTTCAGCTTAAGTAGATTC